TTGTTAATCGAAGTAAGCTCCGCGCCTTCTCTCAGATCCAGAATTCTGGCCTGCCCTCAGCCGGAGCCCTCAGACAGGGGGCCTCAGGGGAAACTATTCTGGCAAGGATCCTTTCCAGTCAAGTCTGGGGGTTTGCTTGATCCCCATCTCCCACTTCTCCCTGAAGGCAACCCCTGTTCCCAGTTTGTTCCACATCCTTCCCTGGACAGTCTGTATTCACAGAAATAGGTCTACAAACGTTCACGTCATTTCTACCTTCCTGTTTGCATACAGCAGTGGAGTTGAAGGATTACTCCCTGCTGGCATACGTGGATGGCCTCACTGCATTTTGAGCTATCGAATCCCCTATGGCGTTCTGCGGACGCCCCATCATTTATCCACCCAGTCCCCTACCGATGGGCATTTAGGCTGTCGCGAACACTCTGAGCAAATTTGCCTACACTGGTCACCTTGCACACAGGCACACATGTCCTGACTACCTAATTGGATGGGGTGCCTGAGTGTCTGAGTTAAATATCCTACTTCGGCTCTGGGCATGATCTGGCAGTCTGCAGTTCGAGCCCCATATGGGGCTGTGTGCTGACAGCTCAGAGCCTGGAGCCTGCTTGGGATTCTGTGTCTCCCTCTCTCTCTTCCCCTCCCCCGCCCACACTCCGTCCCTCTCAAAAATAAACATTTAAAAACTTTTAAAAATAAATAAATAAAAGAGGCTACCTAATTGGAACATTCTTGTCAGAGCACACAGGTAGGCTTTATTTTGTTTGATAGTGGATTGTTCTAAGAAGCTGTACCAATTTACACTCCCACTGGCTTTTTTTTTTTTTAATGCAGAATCATGGGTCCCAACCCAGATTTACAGAATCAATGTGGACGTCACCAAAGCCCCAGGGGATTTGCAAGCACATGTAAGATGGAGACGCTGCCCTACAGCAATGGAGGTCACCCTTGGCAGAATTACAACCCCCTGGACAGAATTCTGATGCCCAGGCCATAGCAAAGATATCAGAATGGAGGGATTTTAAAAAAAAAATAATTTTCTTAATGTTTATTTGAGAGAGAGGCTGCACGTGTGTGCATGCGAGCAAGCGGGGAAGGTGCAGAGAGAGAGGGAGAGAGGGAGAGAGAGAATTCCCCTGCCCGCTGTCAGTGCAGAGCCTGATACGGGGTTGAACTCATCAATGGTGATCTCCTGACCTGAGCTGAAACAAGAGTCAGATGCTTAACTGACTGAGCCACCCTGGTGCCCCAGAGTCGGGGTACCCAGGCGATTACAATGTGCGTTTCGAAACCATTGATGGTTACAAAGGAGCTGTTTTAATTATTGCCTGCCTCTTTGAAAGTGACAAGGTGTGATGTAGAAAAAAGGGGTCCCCCTGCCCTCAGGGGATTCTGAATTATTTAATTCCTTCAAATTGGGGTAAATAGAGCAAACTTATTTGGGGCCATTTAATGTTGGAGACCAACAGGGAGTTCCTTCGCCGTATTCGAGCTTTTGTTTTAACCTCATCTGTGTCCATTTTCTGCACCCCATTTTTTGTTTGTTTATTTTTGAGAGACAGAGACAGAGAGAGAATCCGAAGTGGGCTCTGCACCGACAGCAGCAAGCCAGATGCGGGGCTGGAACTTGCAAACCGTGAGCTCATGACCTGAGCTGAAGTCAGGGGCCCAACCGACTGAGCCCCCCAGGCGTCCCATCCATTTCTGAATCGCCTCCTCAAGACGGTCTCCCTGGGGGCGGTGGGGGGGGGGGTCCTGGGACTCTCCTCAGTCTTTGTTTCCCTCTGATCGTATTTCTCTTATTTACTATCTCATAGTAACCATTTAAAAGTTTCTACCTTGGGTAGAGGGGAGGAGAAAGAAAAAGTTTCTACCAGGTAGGCAAGACTTCCTAGACTCCCCTCAGCCTATTCCTATTCTCTCGTTAATTAACCTAATGGTTTATTAGCATTTGTAAGACACAGGAGGTAAAGCAGAGGCAGCAAAATTTGTAAGGCTCCCTGAGCTTTCTCCATTCTTCAGTACTAAGGTTAAATGAGGTGCCCCTGTGAAAGGAGCCCCGCTTAACCACAGCAGTTACCTTGACCGGAGTAACAAGCATATTCAGTGAGTGACTATCTCGGTCATCATAAAGCCAGTCCCACATGGCATAGAAACTTCTGAGCGCCTTTACCTGGAGCGTTCCACTCAGCACTCACAGAGGGAGGTGGGCGGTCCCCCTTCTCAGGGTTAACAGATCCTACGGTGGCTTTTATCCAGTCCACGAGGCTGCCTGTTCCTTCAAGAATAACCTACGTGTCTGGATCGCCTAAAGCCACCCACTGGGAGCTGTGGGTCCTCTATCAACTCAAACGTGCACTTCCACTTGGCAACATTCAAAAGCAAAGACGCTCCTCATTAGTCGCTTTCATGCTCCCTTTTGGTAAAGGTCGCTCCGGAAACGGATCCACAAAATGATAACTCCACACCACGCGCCCTAGTTTTCGATCGCTTCTTGGGTTTGCCTCTCCCCCGTGTTGACTACCTTGTGGGTGACCAGAGGTCTCAGAGGGACTTTGTGCTGCCCCAGCAGAATTTTCCCCTTTCTAGGTGGCTTCGAGGCTAGTGGCCAAGGCTCAGCTCCACTGAACTCTAAGCTTGGTCTGGCACCAAAGCCTGAACCAGCGCCCTTTGAATTTCATCATAGCTACTACAGAGAACAAGAACCCAGGGACTGAACGTTTTGCCTTTTCCTTCTTGGTCTGCATTTCCTCATGCATCCAGTGAACCCAGTCCCCAGCAGCTGGAGCCATCTCTAGATTCCATCGGCAACTCTTACCTTTATAGCTCAGCAACGGCTCCGATGGAAGAGACGCTCGGGGCAAGGGCGCGGAGCTTCTCAATCCTCCTCCTCCCCTGGCGCGCACTCCACTCTGGACACCTCTCTGCATTCACCACCCAGTCCTTCTGGGGTTTTATGGAGGCTTTGTCACCTAGGCATGATTGAGTACATCACTGGCTGGGGACTGATTCAACCTCCCGCCCCTTCCCCTCCAGATCAGGGGGTGGGACCGAAAGTTCCAACCCTATGATTTCCTTAGAGGCTCGCCAAACTACCTCGTTAACCTAACAAAACACACCTATAACGCTCTCTTCTTTTAGGCAATTCCAAGGGTTTGAAGAGCTCTGTGCCCAGAAGTGAAGCCAAGGACCAAATACGATTTCTTCTTTTTTTTTTTTTTTTTAACATGTATTCATTTATTGGAGACAGAGAGAGACAGAGTGTGAGAGTGGGAGGGGTAGAGAGAGAGACACACACAGAATCTGAAGCAGGCTCCAGACTCTGAGCTGTCAGCACAGAGCCCGACATGGGGCTCAAACCCACAGACCGCGAGATCATGACCTGAGCTGAAGTTGGACACTTAACCAACTGAGCCACCCAGACGCCCCCGATTCCTTCTTCTCTTAATAAATGTTTATTTATTTATTTTTGAGGGAGGGAGGGAGGGAGAGAGAAAGAGAGGCAGAGAGAAAGGGAGACAGAGGATCCCAAGCAGGCCCAGCTCTATAGGTGCAGAGACTGATGCGGGCTCATGAACCCTGAGATCATGACCTGAGCTGAGATCCAGAGTCCGACGCTCTAACCAACTGAGCCACCCAGGTGCTCCCAAATATATAGTTCTTATTATAAATCACAAGATCACAACAGGCAGAATTTTTCTCAAGACGCAGCCTAAATCCCGTTACTACCATCCTGGAAGCTTTAACTGGGTTCCCATCCTCTTCTGCAAAGTTGAGTTCTTTGTATATGGATTCCTGGCCTCGCTGCCCTGCTCCACACAAGCAGAAGCTTTGGGATGACGTCAGGAGTGGCCAGCAGAGTGGCTGACACACTGTAAGGTTGCTATGGATTGTTGAAAGTGGCTCATTCGGTTGGGCGTCCGACTTTAGCTCAGGTCAGGATCAGGTCATGATCTCACGGTTCATGGGTTCGAGGCCCGCATCCGGCTCTGTGCAGACAGCTCAGAGCCTGGAGCCTGCTTTGGGTTCTGTGTCTCCCTCTCTCTCTCTCTCTGCCCCTCCCCTGATGACACTGTCTCTATCTCTCAAAAATAAATAAATGTTAAAAAATTTTTTTTAAAAAAGAATAAATGGTTCACACATTTCTTTATATGCTTAAGCTGGGCTGCAAATTGGGATCACCAGGTGGTGATTTTTTTGTAATCACATTGGCACTAGAGGTCCCACTGGACCAATTAAATCAGAAAACCTAGGGGTGGGACCGGGCCACAGTGTTTCAGAGAGTCCAGCCCCACTTTATACAAGCCTTCGAATGCTCCAGCTCAGACTCACCTGGGAGTTCTTGGGGATGACCTCATTTGTCTTTCATTTTTATTTTGCCACCATCGTAGATTTGCTCATCTCTCTTTCCCTCCCCACATCTGTGCTGTCCCATATGGTAGCAACGAGCCACACGTGGCAATTAAAATTTGAATGAACATATTCAGTTTATCAGTTGCGCTAGCTACGTTTCAAGTGCTCAAAGGCAAATGCTTATTTAAAATTAAAATGAAATTCCTTAGGCTCACATTTCTGGTGTTTAATTGGCACATGTAGTTAGTGATTACCTTATTACAGGAAGCAGACCAAATGAGGGCTAATGGGGTAGAGGAGAGTATGTAGTAAGCAATGACTGTATGCTCCGAGAAGTACAGTTCAACTACATATGAGGACACTCTCAATGGCAATTAGGATCATGTCAGCAGACTCAGGAACCAACTTGATAAGGCTCCCACTAGCCCACTGTGGTGTAATTTGAGCTTTAGTAATGACAATGATAATTATTGCAATCCATCCAATGTTTAAAAAAATTTTTAACGTTTATTTACTTTTGAGAGAGAGAGAAAGAGAGCAGAGGAGGGGCAGAGAGAGAGGGAGACACAGAATCTGAAGCAGCTCCAGGCTCCGAGCTGTCAGCACAGAGCTCGATGCGGGCTCGAACTCACCAATCGTGAGATCGTGACCTGAGCCGAAGTCGGACGCTTAACTGATTGAGCCCCCCAGGCGCCCCCATCCAATGTTTAAATACATGAACTGATTGATAATAGTATTTAGAAGGGTGCTGATGACTGTCCCCTCTTTGAGGACAGGAAACCAATCTACTGTCTTGAAAACTAATAAATGAAGTGAACCAAAGATTTGTCCTACCTTTTTTCTACAAACCGTAACAATGGGGAACAGACACTAAATGAGTGGAAGTCCCTCTCTATAAAAGTATTCCAACTAGTAAATGTAAAAGAAAGGGTAAGATTAGAAAAAAACCATTTTGCAACCCCTGATGAATAAGGTACTAAACATCAGTGGCTGGTGACATCATTAAAAGACAGACAACCAGACATGATGTGCTTTGTGACAGGAAACCAGCGCCACCCCGTGGTCCTGCCGGAGAGATCTGACCCAAGTCCGACAAGGCTCAGGATCCCACTGCTCAACGGCGGGAAACATGGAGGACAAAGAAACATACCGAGCTGTGTCAAGAGCGTTGCGTTAGTTAGCCATCGTCGCGGACAAGCTGCTAGTTGGGGGCTGATGTTATCCGAAGGCTTGACTGGGGCTAGACCGGCAGTTCCCAAGGTGGCCCAACCACGGGGCTGGCAGGTTAATGCTGGCTGTCGCCGGGAAGCCACCATGGGCCTCTCCCAGGCTGCCTCAATGTCCCCATGAGGCAATGGCTGGCTTTTTTTGCTGAGTAAATCCAAGAGAGAAAGCCCAAAGCAGCACATCTTTTAGGATAAAGCCCCAGAAGCCACATGCCTTCGGCCGGGCTGTATTCTGTTGTTCACACAGAGCGACCCTGCTACCAGGCTGGAGTGGGATTCACAGGAGGGGAGGGTCACCGGCAGCCGTCCTGAAAGCTGGAGGCCACGAGCACGCAATCAGCAAACTCCACACTGTGAGACGCTACTCTTCCAATAGTCTGTGTTCTTCAGCAGATAAACTGTAAGCAAAAGAAAGAAATGGCAAGTTTGAAAGAGACATCAGATTTTATTTCATTTTTTAAAGTTTATTTTGAGAGTGAGCAAGCATGGGGGAGGGGTGGGGGCTGGCGGGGGAGGGAGAGAATCCCAAGCAGGCTCTGCACTGTCAGCGCAGAGCCTGATGTGGGGCTCGATCCCCCAAACTGTGAGATCATGACCCGAGCCAAAGTAGGGCACTTACAAGTAGGACAGTTACAAGGGTGCTTAACGTCGAACACTTCACTTAGGTGTGTATTTGCTTTATGTGATCTTCTGTACTACGTTGCCTTTTATAACGAAAATACTTTTAAAAAATTAGAAATCTTATGGGAGCCTGGGTGGCTCAGTCGGGTTGAGCGTCCCACTTAGGCTCAGGTCATGATCTTGTGGTTCGTGGGTTCGAGCCCCGCCTCAGGCTCTGTGCTGACGGCTCAGAGCCTGGAGCCTGCTTCGGATTCTGTGTCTCCTTCTCTCTCTGCCCCTCCCCTGCTCATTCTCTGTCAAAAATAAATAAATATTTTTAAAAATTCGAAACCTTAGCCCTGAGGTACAATGTTAAATCCTCCCACGGAAATTTGTTTGACTTTGTGCAGAAGTCACAGGTCCCTTGAACACTATAAATTAGGAGGGCACGACATAGGTCTTTTTAAAGATCTTTTTCCAAAAATGAAATGAAAGGGCATGTGACTTCTCATGAACTGTACAGGCACAAATACTCTCTCTTTTTTCAAACCGAGCTTTTTGTCTTTGGAATGGGAATAGGAAATTGAATGTGATGGAATGTCTTTCCACCCATCTTTCATGAAAGGAATTTTTATTGCAAGTGGCACCAGGCCTTCTGAGTGAAAGGATGAAGTCCACAGCTTCCTACCTCCTCTGTCAATAAGCTTTAGTGATCCCAAATATTAACAGAGATAACCTCCCAGCAAAAGATGTGGTTCTTCTGTTTCCTTACAAAGCCCTAGAGGAAGAAAAAAGAAAACCCACAACCCTAATCCCAAGTAATTTCTTAGCTATGCAGCTAAAACAGAAAATCAAATTGAAAATCATCTCTTTTTCTTAAGTGCAAACTATTTGGCACTAGAAATCAGGGTTATTTTTCTTGGTAGGTATCTTTGAATTTTCTTTTTTTTCCACCTGAAAAGTGTTTATTTGCTGGGGCGCCTGGGGGGCTCAGTCGGTTGAGGTTCTGACTTCAGCTCAGGTCATGATCTCTTGGTTCATGAGTTCAAGTCCCCTTGGTGGACTTTCTGCCCTGAGCACAGAGCCCGCTTTGGATCCTCTGTCTCCCCCCCTCTCTCTCTCTAACCCTCCCCTGCTTGTGCACTCTTTCTGTCTCTCTCAACATAAATAAACTTATATGGAAACCAACTTGATAATAAACTATAAAAGAAAATAAATACATAAATAAACTTAAAAAACTTTTTAAAAATTTAATGTTTATTTCTTTTTGAAATAGAGAGGAGAGAGAGAATTCCAAGCAGGCTCTGCACACCCAGGACAGAGCCCCACGTGGGGCTTGAACTCATGAACCGTGGGATCGTGACCCGAGCAGAGATCAAGAGTTGATCTTGATCAACTCAGGTGCCCCCAATTTTCTTCCTTTAAAAAAAAAAAAGTTTATTTATTTAGAGGAGTGGGGAGGGGCAGAGAGGGAGACACAGAATCCAAAGCAGGCTCTGGGCTCTGAGCTGTCAGCATAGAGCCTGCCGCAGGGCTTGAACCCACGGCCCGCGAGATCATGACCCGGGCCGAAGTCGGACCTTTAACCGACTGAGCCACACAGGCACTGCCCCCCCAATCAAACCTTGAGGGAGGATGCAAAAGAAAGGAATTAGACGTAGTTTGAAAAATCTCCCCAGTTGACTCAAATAGGCGTCTTCATTTCCCCACTTACAGCATGAATCACAGCCCTACAATCTAGCCTTGGATTAAACAATACATCGGAAAGCATCTTAACTGGACAAAAGCATTTTGATCCCAAGCCCTTGTCCAACAGGTGCTGTTTGAAACGCTCAGAGGTGCGCATTTCCATTGGAAGGACAAATACGTCAAACTTGTCTCTTTGTTACAGGGTCGCCGATGAGGTCCTTGCTCACTTTGACACTGTTCCCCCTGCTAGGACTGTGGACGAATGGAACGTCTCCCTAAGAATTAGTTTGTGCTTCATGGACACCGGATCATGTAACTGCCTGTTTCTCTCTTTGTCTTGGCTGCTTGAAGACTCAGAACCAAATCTGTGGCTGGGAATTTAAAAAGAATGGAGCTGACTGTTGGTGGGGGAAGTGGGGTCCAGTGAGTATTCGTTGTAGCCCGTGACCTTTCTAGACGGTTTCCATCCAGGGCTTTCCCAAAGGGGATCACGTGGGGGAAACTGGGAAACTGAAGCATCTTGTTTTTTGTTTTAGGAAGAGAGAAAGGGTACAAGTGAGTGAGGGGCAGAGAGCGAGAAAGAGAGAGGGGAAGGCAGGGCTCACCAGATGTGGGGCTCATGTGCACCCAAAGTGGGGCTCGAGCTCACCTGACGCGGGGCTCCAGCTCACAGACCGTGAGATCATGACCTGAACCTAAGTCAGATGCTTAACTGACTGAGCCACCCAGACGCCCAAAACTGAGCCATTTCGATGCCTTTAAGATCTGGAGTAACTCAGATCTGTCTGCCCGGCTGCTTCCATACTGATGAGCCTTTCTAGATTCTTGTTCTCGCTGATGTCTGGTTCATCAGTGTCTCTAATATCTTCTTGGTATTCTCGGGGAACCCAGAAACAAAAACTTTCCATTTTTTGCATGCACAGACACACTGTATAAACTGTATTTTCAGAAAAATGACATTTAAAAGGGGGGGCACTCTCTTCATCAAGTCCTCTGTTCCTTCTTCTTACTCCTATTTCCTGCCTATGACAGACAAGACTGTGCATGAGTTTTCTTTAAAAATAAGAGAATGGCATTCTATGAATATCTGTTTTGAATCTGGACTTGTTTTCTCCTCCACTCTGGTGAGATCCTTTATAATAAACTACGAAATGAGGCCCCAACTTCCTCAGCCTGTAAAATATCCGGAGGTATTCAGAGATGCCTTCAAAAGTCTGGAAACCACACCATCGGAGGCCAGTCCCGGAGGACGGGCCTAGGCCTCACATATGGGGAGGAAGCCGTTAAAATCCCACTCCAGAAGGATTCGGTTTTCCTTCACTCTGGAAATCCTGCTCTCACTTGTGGGCGATGTGTCCTGACGGGCCTAGCACGCGCGCGGCTGGTGGGGGGCCGCCGGCACCTGGGAGCGGCTGCCAAGGGCAGAGGGGGCCCGGCTGGACGCCATGGACTTGCTCCGTTGTTCCTCGCACACTGTACCACAGAGCTCTCCACAGTGACGTGAATGTCCTTTATCCGTGCTGTCCGATACGGTCGCCACTAGGGCACACGGGCGTCAGGGTTTTTTTTTTTAATTTCATTTCAATTACTTTGCATTTAAATCAGCGCAGGTGGGGAGTGGCTACTGTACAGGACCGCGCAGCCTGTGACAAGGTCGTGAGGCCAACGAAGCATGATTTGGCTTGCAGACCCGGGAGACGCTAGGCCTGCTCGCTGAGTACTTATTTCCTAGCTGCCTTCTACGTTTCTCAGGCTGTGACCCCCGAGGATTCGTATCACTCAAAAGAAGCACGTCTGCGTTCTGGCTTGTCCGTCTCCGTCTTTCTTTCAGCGGGTTCCTCCTTTGCAAATAAACGTGTTTTTCTTTCTTCCGAACCTGCTTCTTGCACAGGGAGCCAGGGGTCCGGGCTGCGTGCCAGTGCTCTTACCCAGTGGCTTAAGTCCGGAGGATGAGAGCTTGTCCCGGGGGGGCGGGATTTGCTGAGACAGATCTCTCCGGCAGAGGCCTTCTGCCTTGACAGGACCGCGCTCCCTTCTTTACACAAAATGCCAGGTGAATTTAAATTACTTACAGATGTGGGATGTAGGTCAGTGACAAGCAAGGGCCTGACCAAATCGTGACCGCAGCTTCACAACAGCTACCTCTGCTTCACCTTGAGCTGAAAATCATCACGGGACCCTAAACCTGGGTTCGCTCCCCCGGCCACACCTTCATTTCCCGCAAGCAGTCGCTCCGGCGGGCTGACACCCAGCTAGGCCCTTGGCTCCAAACACAGGCTGTAGTCGAGTGTCGTGACCACATTTCACAGACCTCTTCTGGCTCACTGCGCAGCCCAAATCCCCAAATCTGACGCTAGCTGCTGAAAACTGGGGCCAAAGCCCATGCAAAACAATAGTGCATCTATCAATACAGTGATTAATTTAAAAAATTTTTAATGTTTATTTTTAGTTTTGAGAGACAGAGACAGAGAGACACAGAGCATGAGTGGAACAAGGGCAGAGAGAGAGAGGGAGACACTGAATCTGAAGCAGGCTCCAGGCTCCATGCTGTTGGCACAGAGCCCAACGCGGGGCTTGAACCCACGAACTGTGAGATCATGACCTGAGCCGAGGTCGGACACAGCTGGCTGACCACCCAGGCGCCCTGATATGATGATTAATTTAAAAAGCACGGATTACTGATTCCTATATGTCATCCCTAGACGGGCAGCTGGAAATACAAAAAAGAAGGAAAACAAATTTCTGCCTTCACGATGCTCACCATCCAGTGGAAGGAATGGCAGGAAAGAAATACCCAAATGTTGCAACAGACAGTAGTAAGGGCTCTCAGAAAACAGTCTGGATTCAGCCTGGGACTTCACCAGGAGCACCGACTCAGAAGCCATAAGCTGCCACATTAAATCAAAGGCGCTCCTACCAGCCCCGTCCCTTGCTACTCAAAGGGTGCTCCACGGACCAGCAGCGCGGGCGACGCCTGGGAGCTTGTTAGAAATGCAGCATCTCAGTCCTGCTGGATCCGAATCCGCATTAGAGACCCCCAGGTGCTTCAGGCACACATTACGGCTTGAGGAGCTCTGGCCCAGTCAACACGACCCCGAGCCATGAGAGAAACCCAGGTGCCGACCGTGACCTCAGCTCAGCCTCCCCACTCCTCTCTCCCTCACACGCCCTGGCTCTTGAAATCTCCCCAAAGAGAAATCGGTCAATTTCTGCATTGCTCGTGGTGGCACTGTCTTCTGGCTTTAGCCAGGGGCCCTTTATCCCCTTCCTGGACCTCTCTACGTCCCCAGGAGTCCTCAACATTGCCACTCAGAGCCTTGATCCTCTGCTGGTCCTTTGTGGTGGCTTCTGTCCCTCTGGCTTCAAACCGCCCCCCCCCCCCCCATGCAGAAACGGCATGGTATGGTCTTGGAGTGGATGACCTATGTTGCTACCTGCTGTGGCTTGGAATACCGAACAGCTGTCTGACATTGAGCAAGTCATGTCACCTCTTGGTGCCTCACGGTGGCTCCTGGATTCATTTGCAGACACGCATGCACACCAGTGTGGCAGTCGTACGTCCTGTCATTATTGCAAGCTGGCCATCTCTACCACCTCTAAGCTAGCTTGCACCGGTATGAAACTCGGAAGACCAATCCCGAGTCGGTAAAAGAATTCGCTGTTTTCCTGACCGTGACTTACAGACTGGCTGCCTGTTGGCCCTTCCCCCAGGATAACACCAGGGCAACTCGTGCTTTTTCTGGTAGTGCTTAGACTGAAGGAGGTTCTAAGTTTGTTCTTTGGTAGTTTCTCTCCCAGCCAAACAAGAGCTTCAGTAAAGTCAGGCTGATGCACACTGTACCAGCATTCTGTTTACCTAAGTAGTGCAAGAAGCTCGATCTGGATACAAAAGAATTACCCAGATCCACCACTTTGCTGGTGTATAAAATGCACAGCTATATAAGACAGATTTCAATTTTTTTTAAATTTTTAAAATGTTTATTTATTTTTGAAAGAGAGTCAGAGTGTGAGTGGGAAGGGGCAAAGAGAGGGGGAGACACAGAATCCAAAACAGGCTCCAGGCTCCGAGCTGTCAGCACAGAGCCCGACACGGGGCTTGAACCCATGGATCATGAGATCATGACCTGAGCTGAAGTCGCATGCTTAACCAATTGAGCCACCCGGGTGCCCCAAGATGGATTTCAATTTTAAAAGGGAAGCTCGTTAAAAAATAAGGGAAACTGGGGGCACCCAGTTGGCTCGGTCGGTAGAGCGTCTGACTGTTGATTTCAGCTCAGGTCATGATCCCAGACTCATGGGATCGAGCCACGGGGCGGGGGGGCTCTGTGCTGAGCGTGGAGCCTGCTTAAGATTCTCTCTCTCCCTCTGCCCCTCTCCACCACTCAAGTGCGGTCTACAATAGATACATAAATAAACAAAAGTAAACTGTACATACTTAAAATAAGTTAGCCTGCCCCAAGACACTGGGAAACCCAGCTTAACCAAGCTGATGAGAGGAAAATGCTGTGGGGGTGGGGGTGGGAGTGAAGCGGGGGGATGGGACAGCTACAATTACAGAAAAGTGAAACAATGACAGGGCCAGGGTGTGTGTGTGTAAGGGAAAGCATTATTTTGTCCATGTAAATGACTCTGAAATCCAGTACGATTTGCACTACTGTTTATTCTGAAGAAAGAACTCAGTCCCTTGACTAGAAGGAAATCAGAGAAGAGGAGCACCTAGTTGATGGTGACTGGACATACCTTCCTACCACAGCCTCCTCTGGGATGAAAGCCCTTCGGTATCAGGAACAGAGGCATCGTTAGCTCGGACACGTCACTCTCCAGCCCTCTGATGTGCTGGCACCAAGTCTGTAATAAAATCCTTGAACTTTAGGTCACAGTGAGGTCTCCATGGTTTTGGAGCTGTTATGAAATGTGACTCCAATAAATATAAATCAGAAGGTTAGGGAAATAACCCAAACTCTGCTTATTAGCTCTGTGGCCTGTGGCTTTTGTTAAGAACTCTCTCAATTAAATGTTGGGGCTCCTGAGGCGCTCAGTGGGTTAAGCATCTGACTCTTGATTTCAGCTCAGGTGATGATCTCACGGTTCGTGAGTTTGAGCCCCGCGTCAGTCTCTGTGCTGACAGCGCGGGGGCTGCTTGGGATTCTCTGTCTCCCTCTGTCTGCTCCTCCGCCAGTCGCACTGTCTCTGTCTCTCTCCAAATAAATAATAAATAAACTGGGGGTAAAAAAAAAAAAAAAAAACCTTCCAAATTAAAAAAAAAAGAATGTATTGATTAGACATAAAATTTCTTGCAGCAAAATAGCACATTGCCATGAGTGAACCTTAAAATCATGCTCAAAGAAAGCAGATACAAAGACCACATGTCCAATTCCATTTATGTGAAATGTGCAGAAAAGGCAAATCTACGGAGCTAGAACGGAGATCATGGTTGCCAGGGGCTGGGGGTGGGTGTGGTGGGTGACTGCATGTGGGTAGTAGGGATGCTTTGGAAGTGGTGGGAATGTTCCCAGGCTGGTTTGTGCGGATGGTGGCACAACTCCGTAAATTCACTAAAAATCACTGCACTGTTCATTTCAAGTGGGATCATTCTATGGTATGAAATTATAGGTCAATAAAGCTGTGAAAAGTTCACGTTGCCACACTTTGCCATCGGCAGCACGGTGGTGACTTTCTTTTGGGGCTCAGTGACATTGTGGCTGCTCACCCCCAGCCCTTTTAGCTACACACCTTTTGTTCTCTGACCACCACTTTGAATTGGTGAAATGGATATAGTATATACATAGTAAACGCAGAGGGACCTGGAGCCTTTGGGGGAGAAGCAGGAATGGAGACACATCTCTGATGCCACTTAATGTTTGCGAATTTCCAGTGCCCCGGTGCCACTATGTATAACTGCTGTTATCAGGTGCCAGTATGTATAACTGCTGTTATCAGCTTACTGCACCGATAAGGTGAAGGCTGGAAAATGAAATTCATTCTGGCAGGTGCAGGCTGATTTGGGTTCTCTCGGAGTCTTAAATTCAGAGTTGAACAGGTTAATTGTCCACTTACTCTAGCCCTTCTCCATGTGGGGCTGGTTAGCTCTTAATTTTTAAAACGTTTGTTTATTTTTGAGAGAGAGGAGAGGGAGAGAGAGAGAGAGAGTGCGCGCAAGCGAGCAAGCAGGTGAGGGGCAGAGAAAGAGCGGGGGACAGAGGATCTGAAGCAGGCTCTGTGCTGACAGTGTGACTCCAGTAAAGAGCCCGATGTGGGACCTGAACTCACAAACCATGAGATCATGACTTGAGCTGAAGTCAGATGCTTAACTGATCCACCCAGGTGTCTCAGGGCTGGATCATTTTTTAAAGACTTATTTTGTTCAGGGAGATTTCAGGTTCACAGCAAAACTGAGAGGAGAGTGCAGAGGTTTCCCATATGGCCCCTTCCTGCCCCACATGCAGAGCCTCCCCAGTGTCAACGTGCAGTGCCACATCATCACCCAAAGTCCGGTGTACGCAAGGGTTCATTCTGAGTGTTGTGCGGTCTGGGGGTTTGGACAGATGTATAAGGACATGCATCCATTATTATCAGGGCTGGATTTTTGAGTGTAAAACTACAGCGAGGGGCACCTGGGTGGCTCAGTTGGTAGAGCATCCAACTGTCGACTTCAACTCAGGTCATGATCTCATGGTTCGTGAGTTCGAGCCCTGCGTCGGGCCCCGCACCAACAACGCAGAGCCTGCTTGAGATTCTCTCTCTCCCTCTCTCTCTTCCCTGAGCGTTCTCTCTCTCTCAAAATAAGTAAACTTGAAAAATAGAATAAAAACTACAGGGAAACGTTGAGCATGCCTGGGACGGTAACATAGTACCTACAGACTCATGATGTGTCTGACAGGCACGGTCGTCTTCACCCTCCTGGTCCCTTTTGGAGGTTTGCCAATGGATACAGCCAACCTGTTACGAATTTAGAAAGACTCGGGGGAAATTCTGATGGCCAAGTCCCGCTACGTTGCTCCATTGTTGCTATACACTGTTGCTTGGAGACCAAGTGCGATCTGTAGAAGCAATTTTGTTCTTCTTTACCTTGAAGTGATCTGTCAGGGGGCCTGGCTGCCAAGCCGATTTCCTATTCTTGTGCATAACGGTACAGCACATTGAAATAAAGAGATTTCTTAAAAACTTAGCATGGCTTAGCTGACGGTACATGATACACGCCAGAACCCATTTCATAACAAATTCAAGTGTTAGATAAGATAAGCGGTTTTAACCTTCCGGGGAACCTCGGCTTCAGTTAACCTCATCCTTAAACTAATCCAGTAGATGTGTACGTGGTGCTGCAGGCTTATCTCTTCTTAGTGATCTGAAATGTTTAGTAATAGCTGGAAGAAGTTCTCTTTTACTTCTGTGGTTCTTGTTTCAAAACATCCTTGATTTTCATCTCATCAAGATGGCATCCGTGAGCACTTACTGAAATCATGGTTTTGGAGGTGCTCCTGATAACCAAGGGCCTCCTCCTGCTTCAGTTGTCAAGGCTGGCTCTGTGTCAGTGTGGGGGGGGGGGGACGCCAAGATCTGGAAGCCCCTAACGGAGCAGCTGGGCTGCAAGCAAACCTCCCCCACCCTTGTCCTGGAGGGAGACACTGTCATTATTATCCCTTGGGAAGCAGATCCGCCCTTTGCCTGTAGGGGAGACACTACCTCAGTATTCCAAGGCTCCGTGCCACACAAACATCCTTGGAAAGGCAATCCGGAATCGGTCACTGGCTTTGTTCAAAGGGAAAAATGCAAGAGAATCCCATACCGCCGTCTCCATTCAGATGTCTGCTTAGATGTCCCCTCTCTAAAATGGCCCCCCATGTCACCTGCTACCCCTGTCTGTTGTAAACTTCTTCCGCCTGTCATCCCTGTATCACTCGGGTTTAAAATAGTGCTTAGCACCTAAGTGCTCAATACTTACTAAATTAGTGAATGAATGAACGAATGGGCTGTCACTGGGTATCTCCTTTCTCCTAGGCATACTGAATGACAGTACCGTGTATCTCTGTACTTATTAACTTTTCCCAAACGAATTACTTCAGACACTCTGCTCAATAACAGGGTGCCCCTCAAAGCGCCCAGGAGTCCTTAATCACCCTACCTTCTGAAAGATCCTGCCAAGTTTGGGATCCAAGGCCGTGGTTCAAAGCAGAAGCCTCATTTCAGCCTTTCGGTAGCAACAGCACAGAAAGGAAAGGGCCAACTCTAGGACCCGTCTCTTTGGTGAAGTTCAAGGCCCCAGTAACCACATGACCAGTGTGCCTAAGCTTGGAGAAATCTGAGTCCAGGCACAAGAGGCCTCAAGAACTAACCCACGATGGTACGGAAAACAGACCGCGGGCTCAAGAATTTCAAACAAGACAAGGGCATTTTTTCCCAAGGAAGAAGAGAGTGCTCCCCAACCAGGGGCTGGGAGATGCCATGCGCTGGTCCTGGACACACGGAAAGCAGGAGCCGGACGTACCCAAAACACTCATCACAGCCCCAGCCCCTTGTCCAAGAAAGACTGAATTCAGAAACAAGCTTCAAAAGACTAAGCTGATACGTGTCACCGAGAGCAAGGGGAACCAGAAGAACAAAGGGACGTGTGCCGATTACCGAGCTATCGCCTCTCAGCCCCTGAGCACACTTCTCCATGCCCACCTTGCCAGCTGCTCCGTTAGGCTCTTCCGGGAGGGGACACCAGAGGGACACTGGAGGAGAGAGAAGGCTGTGCTCTTGTCTACTGCAGCTCCCCTTAGTGTCTCCCCGGGAACGGCCCCACCCCCGGCCCTAGCAGTCGGCTCCAGGTCCTGATTCGTTCCTACACCGCAGGGCCAGCCTCATCACACCTGCTGGGCCATATCGGAACCATGAGATGGGATCAGAACTCTACCGAGAGGTCTGGGCTGCAGCCCTGTGGGGACCCACCTACAATCTTCCAGGGTCAGACAGCCTCAATCTCTTCCCACTGAGCCCTGGGGGTGGTGGCTGCTTCCAGCAGGTACCATCTCGGAGATACCTCCACGTTCCTTTGCCTGTTTTCAGTCTTCTAACACCAGGGTGACCAATTTCTTGTATTAAATGCACTGTTGAAATAACTGGGTTAAAAAATTTTTTTTAATTATTTGTGAAAGAGACAGAGCACGAGAGGGGGAGGGGCAGAGAGGGAGACACAGAATTGGAGGCAGCTCCAGGCTGTGAGCCATCAGCACAGAGCCCGATGTGGGGTTCGAACCCACGAACTGCGAGATCCCATGACCTGAGCTGAAGTCGGACGCTTAACCGACTGAGCCACCCAGGCGTCCCTAAAATAACTGTTCTGAGTTCTGCTTTACTACCAGGACTATGACGAAAGCAGGGGCTTTGACAATGACGACTGGAAAGAGGGCCACAGGATTTGTTCATAGGATGAAAACATTAATGACCTCGTTCCTAGTCAACCTCTTGGTAGCTGACTGCTAGAATTAGTGTCATGAAGCTCTGCTGATCATGGAGGGATTGATACCATCCATGGTGGCAGTGTTCCTTCCTTACCCTGAGCTGTATTTTCCCTACGTATTTCATGGAATCTGTGAAGTGACAAGCAAGTACTTTATGTGTCATGGGACGCAAGCACAGGATCCTATGTTCTAGTTACAGCAGTCCCAATGCGTGAGTCTCACCTTGTAACACACCATACATTTGTCATCATATCGCAAGGAAGTGTAACCCATGCCAGATGTCACCATGCTCTATTTTAAGTGTTTCTGAATGACAGGCATTTCCACATTTACAACTGGTGAGAACGGGAAATTATTCACAGACATGTGAGGGAAGGAGACATTTAGTATGGTCCCGGGATCTGTTTCTGTGCTCCACAGAGCCTTCCCTGGCAATGTTTTCCGCACGTCCCCTGGGCAGGATCACCAAAGCACAGCTGGCCTCTTTGAGGGGGTTGGGGATATGCTGTTTAAGTCAGTCTCTCACACCTGAAAACAGACAGCAAACGTTCTTCTTACAAAAATAACTCAAGGGACAATGAGATGAGATGTGCCTCCTGAGGAAAGAGCACAGACTTGCCAAAGACACTGAACTTGAGTCCATTTAGACCTCTGGATCAAGATGAGAGTGGAAGGAAATAAAGAAGACGGAGGTCAGGTTCAACTGCCCCAAAATAGAAAATAGAAGAATCCAGGCAGTGAGAGATTTTATAGGTCAAATGGCCTCAATTTTTCAAGAGATAAATTATAAGAGAACAAAGGGACAGAGAGGAAAGCTACGAATTCAAAAAGATCCAAAAGATATATCAAGTTATGGCGGCGTCGGGCTGGCTCAGTTGGTAGAGTGTGCTACTCTTGAACTCGGGGTCACGAGTCCAATCCCCATGTTGGGCAGGGAGCCTACTTAAAAAAAGAAATGAAAAGAAAACAGATTCAAAAGATATATCAAGTTTTTAAAAATGAGCAAGGCCGGCCTACAATGTCTAGGGAGAAACACTGTGTGATAGAATGATACAGAAATACCAGTGGCTCCTGGGTAGCTCAGTCAGTTATGTGCTGCCTTTGGCTTATGTTCCAAGCATCCAGAAATCTCTTCAAGTCCCGGTTCATGTTTGCTGTGACTGAGAGTGTACAATGCTATACGTGGACAAATTCTGATGCCCTGGGTCATTTGGGAAATGGAGAAATACCACTGCAGCTGAGGGTACACTGGAAAGCATGATGAGCACATCTGGATGTAAGTTCTGGAACTATCTGGCCTGTCTGCTGGTTTCGTCCAGAGGGAGGAAGCCATACTGCTTTGGAGAAATCAGGAAGTCACTGACATGACTTGGCAATGAGCAAATCTGGGAATCTGAATGAGTCTGAGACCCAACACAGAAATCTCAAGTACTCACATTCACTTCAAGTTTGAAAAGATGTGTGCACATTCCGTAGCCTCTATCCCTTATATTTGTGACGTTTCAACCATCTTAAAAGAGCTTTCCTATACCTCGCGTTATTTTGCCTCCAAAGCAATCCTCAGAAACTGAAAACACAACTTCGTCCCTCTGTTTTTTTTAAATAGTTTACTGTAAAGTTGGTTTCCACATAACACCCAGTGCTCATCCCCACAAGTGCCCTCCTCCATGTCCATCACCCCCCTTCCCCTCTCCCCCACCCCCATCAGTCCTCAGTTTGTTCTCGGCATTCAAGAGTCTCTCATGGTTTGCCTCCCTCCCTCTCCCCCACCATTTCCCCCTTCTTCTCCCCCACAGTCTTCCGTTAAGTTCCTCCTAATCCTCCTATACGTGCAAATATATGGTATCTGTCCTTCTCTGCCTGACTTATTTCGCTCAGCATGACACCCTCAAGGTCCATCCATGTTGTTACACATGGCCAGATGTCATTCTTTCTCATTGCCCTGTAGTATTCCATCGTATAGATAAACCACATCTTCTTGATCCATTCGTCCGTGGATGGACACTTAGGCTCTTTCCATGGTTTGGCTATTGTTGAGAGTGCTGCTATGAACATTGGGGTCCATGTGCCCCTATGTATCAGCACTCCTGTGTCCCTTGGGTAAATTCCCAGCAGTGCTATTGCTGGGTCATAAGGGGGTTCTCTTTTTAATTTTTTGAGGAACCTCCACACTGTTTTCCAGACCAGCTGCATTTTCAGGAATAGAATTTAGTGATTCATCACTTACATATGACAGCCAGTGTTCATCCCAACAAATGCCTTCCTTAATGCCTGTCACCCACTTAGCCCATCCTTTCACCCAACACCACACCAGCAACCTTCAGTTTGTTCCCTGTATTTAAGAGTCTNGGCAGGGCGGGGGGGGGGGGGGGGGGGGGGGGGGGGGGGGGGGGGGGGGGGGGGGGGGGGGGGGGGGGAGAGAGAGAGAGAGAGAGAGAGAGAGAACCCCAAACAGGCTCTGTGCGGTCAGCATGGAGCCTAATGTGGGGCTTGATCCCACGAACCATGAGATCATGACCAGAACCGAAGTCAAGAGCCAGATGCTCTGTCATCTGAGCCACCCAGGCGCCCCTTTTCATCTCTCTTTTACAGGTGGGAAACACAGAAAAAGCGACCTGACGGTCTCCAGCACACACGGCCTGCCTGACCAGCGAGCCCCAAAGCCACGCCTCCAACCCTCCCTTAGCTTCTCCCTTTTGAAAATGCTCAGCTGTGGCAAACCTTGATCCTTGCCGGGTTGATGGGATTCTGTGAAAGAGTAGCATTTTGTTTCAACAAAGTGTGGTAGATGAGATGAGTAAAACTTAGGTTTAAAGAAATGGAAAAGGTATTATCCTTAAGAATAAGGCTGATGTTTTCACTCTGAAGTTTCCTGGCTCCTTGACCAATCCTCCTTCCAAAATACCACATGGTCTCCAGGGGGAGACTTAAAAGTCAGCGCTGTGGGCTGTGCACGCGCAGTTCGGCAGTTCGGGGAAAAGCAGGGTGCATGCGAAACGTGTCTAACACGGCCTCCTTCTGCTGCTTTAGAGAGAATGGCGAACACGAACCAAAATAGTAAATTCTTTGGGAACAATATTATGGTACAACTTTTGCTTCCAGCACTTTCAGCTCACTTGCTCGAGGAGTGCACCACAACCAGAACACACTAGAAGGCCCTTCGGATGCTGTGGTGAGTGTGAGGACCCGTGGGCAAGGCACGTTACCTTGCTGAGTCTCAGTTTACTTGTCTTTGAAGTGGGGATACGGGGCTAGATGAATGGGGCGGGCTTCTGGCGCCGGTCTGCAACGCTGTGCCCTCGGCGGGGTCCCGGAGCCCACGTCCTCTCTCTCCTAGGCTCCTCTCTGACAGTGGGGTCGCCGAGGTCACCGCTCTCCCTTTACACCGAGGCACACTGCTTCACGGTGGTTCCCCTGACTGGACACACGGCCTCTCTCAGGATGGTTTACAGGCCCCACTTTCCTGTCCTTCAGTGAAATCCACAGACATGTGATCTACCTTCACGTACCTTTTTTTTTCCCTTCAGGAAATGCCATGCTGTTCCAGTAAGAACAGAAAAAGGAGTAAGACGTGGGGCACCTGGGAGGCTCAGTGCGTTAAGTGTGGGACTTCGGCTCATGTCATGATCTCATGGTTCGCGAGTTCGAGCCCCACATCAGGCTCTCTGCTGTCAGCACAAAGCCCACTTCAGATCCTCTGTTCCCTTCTCCCTCTGCCCTTCCCCTGCTTGCTCTCTCTCTCAAAAATAAATACACATTTTTTATTTTTTTTAATTTTTTAAACATTTATTCATTATTAAGAGAGAGATGGAGTGTGAGCAGGGGAGGAGCAGAGAGAGAAGGAGACATAGAATCGGAAGCAGGCTTCAGGTTCCGAGCTGTCAGCACAGAGCCCAACGCGGGGCTTGAACCCACAAACCACGAGATCATGATCTGAGCCAAAGTCAGACGCTTAACCAACTGGGCCACCCAGTCACCCCAATACACATTTTTTTTTTTAAAAGGAATCAGATAAAAGGAATCCGTAAGGAAAAATATTCTGACACGCCAACAGTCAAGCATGATAACATCGAACATCCTTGTTCTCTGCTACTCAGAAATCTTTGGAAAGTTCTGGATTAAAAAAAGTATAGCATCTCACAAGACTTTTCAGAAACTAGAACATGCTACCATTTATTGCCAAGTTAGAAGGGAGAATTTGGTACGGGTGGGGAGTATTTTCCCAAATCAGAATACCAGGCGAGCCATTCTTTAGGGCTGTTTTATACGGCTAGTGTTCTTACGGACTTACTTCGGGAAACACTTTCCTCCATCAGTCATGGGGTACATCCAATCAGAAGCGACACCGCAAACCCCTGAATTGTTCATTCTCCACGCTGAGTGTTAGTGGGTCTAGGGGCACAGAATGAAAACTGAAGCTCATTTAGTAGCATCCTGGGCTACTACCCACTAGATTTCAGTAGCACCCACCGGCCCTATCACCCCCCACCCAAGTTCTGGCAACAAAAAATGTTTCCTGGACATTGTCAAACGTCCCGTGGAGGGCAAAAGTGCATCCTGTTGAGAACCACTAAACATGTTTAAATACACGTGTAATATCAAGCATTACGTTACAGTTTTTTCCTGTTCGCATTTTATATAAGTTTAATTCAGATTCT